GATTCTAGTCTGTTCCAACATCACATCAAGGGTGTGGTACCGATCAAAAATTAAAAATCAAAAAAATTATCAAAAATGATCAAAATTGATCAAAAATTATCAAAACGTAATTCTTCAGTTCCACACCATTGCACCTCATAATTAATAACTTCACGACAATAATTTAAACTTCCACATAAAATGTTTTTTTTTTTGAATCACAAAAGTGCGCCTAAGTCATCATGATTCCGCATAAACTTCCACATAATTATTCTTTTTTGCTCTCCTCTCTCAAGAGTATCAACTTGCTTTTGTTTCCATCTCCTCCGTTTTCCGAACATTAATTAATTTTTCATTTAACTGAATGTAAGATCCTGTAAAACAATACAAAAGTTATTAAGGAACTAAACGATATGATGAAGCAAAAAAGAAATAATTAACAAGAAGTGAAATTTTTTTGGAAAGGAATGTGAACTTACAATGAAATAAAAACGTAATTAAAATCAAGTAAAAATAAATTAAATATTTTTTTATGTTGCAGAAGCAGAAAAAAAACTTTTTTCATTGCTCAAATTAAATGAACAAATTAGTTGAAATTAAATTCTTGTCATTTTGTATTCTTTGTAGTCTCGTTAGAATTGTAAAACAGGAAGGAAAGAAGAAAGGGATTATAATGAATGACATTTCAATAAAGTGGAATAAAAAGGAACGGAAGCTATTGTAATTTTGGAGAAAAGTTTCTTAGTAATTAAAGTTGTTCCTTTTCTTGAGTCTTGTGTTACTAATGAGAAAGGAATCGTTATGTAAAATACATTATTTAATTATAATGATTAAATTTTCTGTGCTGTATTTTATAATTATGGATTTTTAAAAGGTATTTAACTCGGTTGTGAGTATTGAGCGGATCCTTGTCATGTCTGGCAATAGAGAATTGTCCAAATAGCCATTTTAAAAGCTCCATGCAGCTTATAAGGGGTTAGAATCACTCCGATTTATTTGTGTCACTCCAAACTTTGAAATGGCTGCAAAATCTAGGAATCGAACCACCATTCTCACAAATAGGTTGGATGAAGATTTTTGGTTTATAGCCTTACTCTCTTGATAGGCGCGTAGCAGCTTCATCTGAGAATCTTGGTCAAAACGACACTTACTAGACGTGTCTCAATCAAAATCTACATTATCCTTAAAGAACGTTATTAAAATCATCACATTCCCTAAAGAAATTGACATCAACTTCTTCCATGATAAAATAAAAAATCTTAATAAGACATGCTGAATTAAAAAAGATTTCTGCATCAATTTAAAAAAATTATAATCAACGTCAGCGAATATTTTTCTCGTGGGCTTTAAATCTTTTCATCTTTAAATTATCTTAAACAGAACAGAAACTCTTAAAGCATTTTCATTAAATAAGAAGTCAACTCCACATGAGTATTTGAAGAGCACCCGTATCGTTGTTATCAGAAGAAATCCTTCTTCATTTCTATGTCTGCTCTCGAAAATATTAATGACTTCTTTTTCCCGAATAGAAAAATAAAAGACGAAAAGATAAATCTTCAATCAAAATTTTTAAAATCCTTTAAGCTAACGGTTTGAGTTTCCTTAGTAACATTAAATGTGTAAGGGGAATTCTAAGAATTTTTTTGATATTGAGTAACATCCATCTTGTGAGATTATCTCATTGAATTTTATATATGAGCTTTTTCCTCTAAATCCGACGACTTTTCTAGTATAATAATATGTGCTGGTTGTTTTTATAGATAAAGACGAAGGAAAGTTTTCATATTAAGAGCTTTTCTGTGATCTTCAAAATAGAATTGTGATGGTTGCTTATGGTTTGAGCTTTAAAGATAACTTTTTGAGATTTTTTTGGAACTAAAATGTAACAAATGATTTTTGGAAATGTGCTTATGGAATGGGTTATGTTGAAAAGTTGCGTGAATCTCTAAATATACAAAAATGGAGCTAGGGATCAGTTTCTAGGGCTCAAGAGAGTTTTCAAGATACACCTTGAGAAGGGAAGACAATTCAAGGCTTATCTAGGGTATCAAGTGAAGAGAATGTTATGGAAGTATATCCCAGTAATAACTCATTTAGGAGTAGGGTACGAAATTTGTACCTTCCTTGAGATATAATGGTCAGATTCTGATGGGAGTCTTTATTGATTCTATAGATATTGAATCTATAAAATTCCATTTTCCTTTTCTGCAAGGATTAAAATAAAAAAATCATTTTTTTAATTATCCAAGAGATTCTGTTGGGAATCGAACCCACGTCCTTATCAAATAGTGATTTTAACTTTTCAAGCATTTTATTTGACAACTCAGCCATAGATGTCTTACTCTTGCTTTGGCAGATGCATCTACATATTGCTTGAGACTCACAAGCTTCTCTAAATCCCACTTTGCTACACCCCAATAAATGGTTTGAAAAGTCTCAATGAACTGACATTTTCTTGGCTCTTCCATTCCAAAAGAAACAGTTCAATCCCTTTTAAGCTTTAAATTATCAAAACGATTACTTCATGACCTCCTTAATCCCACCATCATAAAAATCAATCTTAAAGCTATCATCCACAATCAAAACTATCTGACAACACATGCAAAGAAACAATTTAAAGTTGCATCCGTTCACAAATTTTCAACACAACCTTACATACATTAAATCCTTTTTTATATCTTTACTTTGCCATCATTGTTGGGCTTTACTATGATAATAGATTTTTTTTTTATTTATTATATATCCATTCTATCCATTTTGACACCTTTTTTTTATAAGAAAAGGATAAGGAATAGTGCGAAATTGGAATGGAAAGGTAACATGAAACTATTTATTTTATATTTATGTCATGTGATATAAGAAGAATAGGAGATAAAAGGAAGTAGGAAGGAGATTATAAAAGGTGAACAGAAATGGTCAAAGAAAGTGAAAAAAATAAAATAAAATAAAAGCTCCAATTACTTAAGGGCTCCCCATATAAGGAGATGATGATGATATGGACATTAAAGTAGGAAGTAAAGCATATAAGACATAAATTGAAATGTGTTATAAAGCACTTCAATACAAATTTCATTGCAGCATATGTTGCTTGTTTGAAGTACACTTACTCTCAACGTTATCATTTTCTGACAAAATCGATTTTACGCTGAAGTGCACTTCATTCTTTTCAATTTTAATAACAATGTTATAAAAGACGATTTCTTCTTTGTGCCAGAAGCTTTTAACAGTTGGGAAATTTATTCAATTTTCTCATATTTAGTAAAATGCATTTCACTTCCTGCATGGATGTAGTCAGGGGGATTCAAAGGGATGATGATGGGAAAAATTTGAGGGGGGAACAACGTAATGAGGAAAAACTGAGGGGAGAACAACAAAATGAGGAAAAATCTGAGGGGAGAGCAACATAATTAGGAAAAATCTGAGGGGAAAGCAACATGATGGGAATTAAACCAATTTTTCTTTACAAAAAAATCAGAAACCGATGAGTGTTCGGACACCCCCCTCACCCACCATAAATATTCCCAGCTCCACTCTGACTTCTTCTACTAAAACACAAGAAGAGAAATAAATTGGAATGAAAGAGTGAAAGGAAATAATTTTATACATGATATACTTAATTTTTGATAAAATAAAATGGAAACTTAAGAGGATGTACGGGAATTTGAATAATTTTGAAAAGAATAAAAGTTCTCTCGAAAATTCCATAGTTTAAATAGAGTTGTAACCTAGTTTCATTGTCTTGAAACTATGGTAAAATGGATCATAAATGATGATGCCTCACATTCTGCGTGAATGAAATTGAAATTTTGTGCCATCAATTTTCCCTTTTGTAAAACTTTTTGTTGGAATTTCTTTTTGAGGAATAATTGTCATGGTAAATGACACTTTACATATTTTGTAAAGGAAATGAATTTTATTCACGTCATGGCGATGTTTTGAAGTTAAAAGGAGTTGATTGCATATTAGGAAATGCTTGTAAAATTAAAGACCGTAATTGGAATATCAATGTCGAGAGAAGTTGTCTAAGAATCCATTCCCAAACTTATATTCTAGACAAAAACCACAAAAAGTTTGACAATTTCCAATTTGCTCTTTTACATGGGTCGAAAAAGCCACAAAACCCATTAAAATTAACATTTCCGTTATCATCATGATAATGAGACAGCAGCCATATGTAGAAAATATAGTATATGGTGAAAATGCAGTGACATAAATTATGGTCCTTAATTAAATTTTCGCTCTTTAAACTTTTTGATCTTCTAGGAAGAAGTGCTTTTGATATTGTTGGTTAAAAATTACTTTTGGCTATTTTCAGAATATGGATGTGATTTAAAGGTTTGTGTCTTCCAGAAAGGGAAATAGGCTTCAATTCCTAAGGAATCGTTTATAAATGATGCAAGAAATACTGACTATTGATTATTATTATGGCTATTAAGAGCTTTACAAAAATCCTAACCTCAAATTCCCCAGAGGTGGAGGTTTAATAATTAAACTAACACTTGTCTAATCATCCACAACCCCTCATTTTGTTAAAAAAATTCACAATATTTAAGCAACATAGAGATCAAAATTTTAATTCTTACCTCATAAAAATAAAAGTTCTCGTTCCTTATATTTCTAGTAATTATCCTCAAGTCATTCAACTTGAATCCCACAATATTCATAAAATTAAGATGTATTCATCATGATAAAAACAGTTTAATTTCGGATATAAAATTCATTTAATATTATTACAACCTCACATTGTCTCAAAAACATTATTTTGAATAAAATTTTATTGTCAAGTTCTTTGCTCCGCAATTGTATGGCACCGAAACAGAAGTAGAAGAAGGAGGAAAATTTTCAATTTTGTTTTGTCGACAGCTGAAAATTTTTTCCTTCCATTTAACATCACAGAATGTTTCATTCATTTAATCTGAATGTATAAAATTTTAAAAATATTCATTCAAGCTTTTCACCCACAATATTTCCTTATTTTATTTCTTCCATCTCGACACACACAAACACACACACAAATACAGTTGATAGTCGACATTTAAAGGAATGCATAGAGCGAGCTGAATTTTCATTGAATTTAGAATTATGGTTTGGTGAACAGCAGCAACAGCAACCGCAAACGCAACAGCCAGAAACCCCAACAACATCAAATGAAATAAACTTAGATGATACGACACTCATACTTGCATCAACGAGGACTTTACAACTCAATTTTCATCCTGCACGAGGACTTCATTATCATCTGCCCGTACTTTTTGATTACTTTCATCTAGCTTCTGTCAGTTTGGGCATACATGCGAGTTTAATTGCATTACATCAGCCTTATATAAAGTAAGTAATGCATTAATTATATTTTTTTATAAAACCATAATAAAAAAAGATGTGTGAATGGATAAGAGTGAGAGGAAGTGGAAAGCTTAACGCGTATCAAATTTAAGTAAGAATTTTTTCTTATTTTAAATCCAAAGACTACATAATTTGAATTTAAAACATCCGTTATTTTGATATTAGCGCAATTTTGCAAGAAGAAAGTCAAATAAACCCAACAATACATTTATATCTTCTGTAACGTGTCAAAAAAGGAGAAACATTTACATTAATTTTGTGGTGTCATGGAGGATGGAATAATTAATTGAGATATTCAATATAATTGACATTTTGTTCGTTTTTTCCTTCTCAATGCCCACCCTTAATCTTTTCTCACTCACACAATGCCTTTTTCCGCCCTTAAAGCTCGTATAAGGAACATTGTAGTGAATACAACAAAAAAGGCGAATAAAAAGAAGATTGTAAGCAAAAACTAGTTATGGATGGGCTGGATAAGTGTGTGTTGTTGTGGATTTTCTTTGTCTTGAGCTTTTCTTCTGTTTTATAAAGGAATTAATTAAATAAACAGACAATCGAATGTACTTGACATGTATGACATGATTGAAAAAAATGGCATTAGATTAAGATTTTTATACAGGCATAAAAAGGATTAAAAGAGCTTATTAAAATCAATTAAAATTGAACATGTATGAAAGAGTGTAGCCAGGATTTTCTAAATGAGGGAATCGTCCAAGAATGAGAACTACTCCAGAAGGATCTCTTCCTACATTACCTAGAACATAATAAAACGTCTAACCTAGTTCTAAGTTGGATAATTGCAAAAAAATTATCAAAAATTGTTGAGAATATGTTAACGGTTATTTAAAATTCAAACTATGTATTCAACAATAATTCGTTTATTTCCTCTTGTAAAGTTGTTAACCCCTTCATACAAATATTTAATTTATTTCTGAACTCTGAAGAATAAACATCGTTGTCATTGAAATAAATAAGTGAAAATTTAAATTTAAAACTTTTCCTGCATCATATGGTTTTCTTCTTGCACATATCTCTCCCGTCATTGATTTAATCGATGATCTGAACGAGGAAGACGATTAAAAGTTTAAGAAAATAATTGGATATGAAAGTTTTAGCTATAATTTTGTTTATGATACTAGAAATAATTAAGTTCTGATAAGTTTTAATGAACAAAACATGTTATCTGTGATAAACAACAAAATAATTAAGGAAGTACTTTGAATAATACAAGGTGTATACAAAATAAATTCATTAACTTTACAGATCTAATTCCATTTAAAATTACATCGTAAATATTTGATAAATTACAGATTATCAGTAGTAATATAATTAGTGGAACTATCAATCAATTATTTATGTTTGAATGGGAGCTTTATTTATTCATAAGAATTACTTGATTGGTACTTGTGACCTAATTTATGACTAATAGTATAATAGCCTGTAATTATTTCCAATTTTTACGTAATTCTTCAGCCATTGTATTGATTTAAACAATGATTAAGTTACAAATTTGTTTGTTGCTATAGGAGGTACAAAAACATGATGATTAAAGTGGTTTTAATGTTAATTTAATTGTATTGTATTTACCTAATATAGTTTTGATGTAACTTCGTGATTTGAAGCTAATTTGAACATTTTTTTCTCTATAAAGTTGTGTTTCCGTCGAAAACGCTAGTTTCTAATCAATAGCGGAGCTTAAGCTATTGAATTCCACATACTCCCCTGTTTCTAGTCATAGATAGGAAAATAAGGAAGTGAGCAACTTAGAAATCTTTTAACTTATCGAAAAGATGAGAGCTAAAAATACACAAGGAATTGATTCTCTGAAACATGATCTGGGTTCAAAAATAGCAGAAATTCGATCAGCATTGTCAGATATGCAAGCACGCATCAAAGGAATGGAATCCAAAATACAGGAAGGAAAAGCAAAAGCAGATGAAGCTCTTAAGTTGGCATTTAAAAATAAAGCAGCCATTAACATGCTATTCCAAAACAGACTTTAAAATAAAATGGAAATCTCAGGTTCGAATTTAGACGCCACTCTCAAAGGTGAGGAGCTGACAACAAAAGTCACGGAGCTAATCGAACCACTCGGCGTTACATTGAGTGTTCAAGATATAGCACAGACATATCAACGTAATAGAAAGCATCCAATGAACAGAAAAATTTATTTCGACAACTGCCTTACCCCGCTGAATCGTTACCTGATGTATAAAGCAAGAGAGGTTGCAAAGGAGAAAAACTTTAATGTCTTCTTGAGTGGCGACCAAGTACAAGTCAAAAAGGACAATGATTCGAAACTAGTAATAAACGACATTTTCGACATTGAAAAAATCAAGAGCTGGATCCTAAATCTACGTGCAACAGCGCCCGAAAATCCGATTGACCTTCAGTCAACTAGTATCAGTAAGCATATCAATTAATGTTTCGAAATTTCTCCTCAACAGCCAATGCACCATTGACGATTTATTCATCGATCTTTCCAGAGAATGTTAAGCTTTAAAAATTACCGAGAGGACAAAATTCGCCTTTTTATTCAATTTAAAATTTTTTTAAACCGTTATTTTGGTATTTACATTTTGATTGAACTTGTCCCTACCAAAAAAAATTGTTTAGTCGCTAGCTTCGAACACATTTTAAAGAGATCTTCGAGGAAACTTAAGTTTCATTGATCTCTTCGCTTCAATTTTAATTGTCAATTAACATCTGTAATTATTTATTGTAATTAGCACTGGCTTTCTTTCTTCTTAAAGGTTTTTTATGCCTCTTCAAACAGTTTGAGTACTGTTTGAGGAGGCTTTTTCCTTATATTGGAAGTTTAAGTTTAAAGTTCCCAAAAAAAAAAAAAGATTAGATTTTGATAAGTTCAGCTATTTACAGCCTCAAATGTTTGATTACGTAACAGACAAAGAGCATGCTCTTGATTAAGAGTACGGTTGAGAATACGCTTATTTAACATCCTCTCAAGATCCCAGTAAAGAGCATGTTCAGTAGCGGACTCAGTCATCCTCTAATTATCAATAACTTGCATGCAAGTTTTTACTTCATAATCTTTTATGTACTCTCAAGAGCATGATCAGAAGAGTATATAAAAAGCATGATCATTCACATCCTCATGAGATTATGTTAAAAAATTTTTTGCTATATACTTCACAAGCGCTAGCAGAAATCACTATTATAAGTAATAATTTTGGACTTTCTATAGTTGAAATATGTCTTTTAGCCATTTAAAAGTTATTTAATTTCAGAAGGCATTAGACAAGATGAACAGTTATCAGGAAAAACTACAACACAGCGTACTCGGATTCGAATCACGGCAATAACCAAAAAAGAATGAAAATATCAAATTCCCAAAAACATGATCAAGAGCATAATCATAAGCTCATAAATTTTTTAAATAGTAAAATTAAAGCATGATGATCGAGAACATGTTCTTGATCATGATCTCAAGTTTAACTTGCATGAATAATTTGCAAGTAGAAAGGCGTACTCTTGAGAGCGTGATTTCTGTGGTACCCTGCTGCGATTTCCAGTTGTATGGGAGAGTACGCTAATTTAGCGTCATCAAATTAAAATATTGATTTTTAAAAATCATGCTCAGATCGTGCTCATTGTCTGTTAGTATACATTTATCAAGATAAATTATAATCCATCGATATCAATTAGAACTTTGTTATCAAATATCTCTATGAACACTATTAAGTCTGCTGTTATCTTTAATACTTTTACGATGTGTGTAAACTACAGTATAGTGTTCAGGAGAGAAGTCAGAACTTCAAGTAAGGTACGACTTTTTATAAGTAGATTATCTCATACAAATTGCAATTTTGAGATGCTAGTCTGGATGCACTATAGCTCTTCTCTTGGTCTTTAAGCTTATTGCAATTAATTAGACTAGCTCAAATTATAACAAGAACTCCTGGTTTCACATCTGAAATATTATCGTTATCAGCTTATCAACTTCTTTACAATTCAATTACTTGTCACATATGCAGTTTGTAGTAAACAATTGTTGACTCATTTTAAGTTAGTTTTCTGAGTGAGAAACACATAAAAAATTATTTAATTCGCTTGGTTAAATTAACAGCTTTATAAAAAGAAGTGACGATATTTACAAGAATTCTTAAATCAACAAAAATGTCTCAAATGACTAATAAGAAGAAAGTTGCATTAAATACAAAATACATTTCTTACATTATTGTGATTCTCGCAACATTTGCACTAGAATCTTCACAGCAAAACATAATTTCAAAAGCTGCAGATGTCCAAGGTCTTTGCATATATAGTTTTGACCTGAACAGTCGTTATCATTGTGATCTTTTCAATGTTAATATAACAAGTCGATTTAACACCTTGGAAATCATTGGTGATCACTTACCAGACCAAACTGATGATCATGTTAGGTCACTTAAATTTCGAAATGACGAACTGAGATTCTTGAATACCGAAATAATGACAAAGTTCAGAAATTTAGAATATATGGATATAACTAATGTGAGATTGCAAGAAATAACTGAGAATGCATTTGGTGTTTGTGGAAGACTACAGGAACTTTGGATTTGGGCCAATCCATTAACTTCATTCATGAGTGGAGCATTTAAAAATTGTGTGAACCTCAAAATCTTCTCGGCAACCTTTTTAAGACTAAATACAATTCCTGGTGATTTATTTGGAGCTACTTCAAATTTAGAGGAATTTTACATCACTTCGAATGAACTGATGTCACTTCCAGACAATTTGCTCCAAAATATGACAAGATTGAGAACTGTTTACATTGATGGAAATAATTTGACAAATTTGAGCTCAACCTTCTTTTCAAATGTTGTCAATTTGAAGAAGTTCAGCATTTGGAACAACAAGTTTCAAGATCCATTGCCAATTATGAATATTTTGAATCGACACACAAATTTAACGGAAATTTATCTAAGCATGAATGCTTTTACAACCTTCAACTTTTCATTCTTTGAGAAATTTCAAATTCTTGA